GCCGGGGGGGCGCCCTGCCGGGCTGGCGCTGCCCCCAGCCCCTGGTTTGCAGCCCCGTTCCCCAGGCAGGGCTCAGCAGAGCTCGGTTCGCATCCAGCTGGGCTCAAGGACAGGCCCTGACTTTGCTGCTCTTTTGTGTGAGGGATTGTGCGCTGCCGGGGCGCAGGCAGAGCTGCGGGCGCAGGCAGCCCGGTTGCTGCGAAGCCAGGCTGCTGCCGCTGAAAGCCCCCCTCCTTGGGCCAGGCAGGGACCCAGGCCCTGCAGAAGACACCACAGGCAGCTCAGATGAACGAACCGGGGATGGAAAACTGCTCCTGGGAACTGCAGATGCACCAGCAAGAGACTGGGCTGGTGCTGAACCACTGCACTTAGAAGAAGTATTTTAAGATGCCTTCGTTGTGGCTCAGCACCCTATCATGTCTATATATTTTTCAGTTACAGATGCCTTTCTCTGAGGTTTTAATACCCACCGCCTTATTGGCATTGCTGCTTGTAGGAGCTGTCTTTTCTCATCTGGCGTCATTACGTAGCAGTTAGAATCATAGAATCATAGAATCATTAAGGTTGGAAAAGACCTCTAAGATCATCGAGTCCAACCATCAAGTTCCTGCACCCTTACATCGTGTATTAAACAGAGCCTATCAATAAAAGCCAGGACACCTGGGTGAGATGCCGCTTTGGGGGCACCAAAGCCTTGGGTCCAGCAGCCTCGGACACCTCCCCTGAAGCAAGCAGAAAGCGCGCTGCCGGCCCCGCTCTGCTCCCCGACAGTCTTCCACCGGGGTTCCCATGGGGCAAATGTCATTTTCCTGGGGATTAAACCTCTCCTTACGGGACTGGAAGAATTCATCTACTCCTGCTGCCGGAGTTGAGCCCAGGCCAGCTCTATGCACAGCAACAGCTCGGCCAAGGGGAACGCGAAGCATTAAAATACACACTCTGAGGTGCTTCCCGTCTCTCTTCCTGGGCTCTAGGGTATTTATTTCAGATATTCCTTCAGGGGCCATTTTAGAACGTAATACCGGCTTGCAAAAAAACCCGCAAGGATTTTCCCCCGCCCCTGTGATGCTGTGGGAAGGTTACAGCCCTGCCAGTGGGGTCAGTCCCCCTCCCTGACTGGAGAAGGGTCAGCAAGCGCATGGACACAGGAGGGGAGGATGCACCGCTCTACCCAGTTTCTAGTCTCCCTTTGCTGCCTCTCCCCCCCCACAACAGGACCTTTTACTTCACGTCTCCACTCCTACACTCACACATGTCCTTGCTCATGCACAAACATATCAGCAAACCCTCATCTCCCTGTTGGGAGGCTACAGGTGAGCAAAGCGCTGTTCCCCAGCCTCCGGTACGGCTTCAGAGCAGCAAGCCCAAGCTGAGAACAAGCCTGAC